AAGTCCGGGCTTGCGGCTGAAACATCCATCCCCCAACTCTCAAAATCAATAGAAGATGGAGCCAGCGTTGATGTTGAGAGCGTTGGTGTTGGCTGCAAGGTGATTAGCTGGCTGGTGGTTTGTTGACCTGCACATGAAGGTGTGATAACACAACAGTCATGATAAAAATGTGTCACATGCGGCATAGACTGTCGTTCTCGTTTGCCGGTAGTACTCTTTAGCCATAGCCGATGCTGGTGTAAATTTGGATTCTACCATGGTCAATATTGACCGAAAGACGCTATACAGGGGCTCGATGATTGGGTTATAGACACAAATATTTACCGACTATTGATTACTATTTAATGCCATAGAGTATGATAGTTTCCTATTTTTTTGTATTATTACACGGTGCTCAATAGTAATTTCTTGTCTTACATCATGCCTTGCATATTTATTTGCTCATTCTTGAGCTGCACAGTATAGTGTCTGGGAGATAACAGGATTTTTACCTCCATGAAAAATGGAGGTATTGTTTTTAGTGTGTGTGTGTGTGTATGTGTGTGTCTGTGTTTCCGCACATTTGTAGTCAGCATAACTTCAGAACGCCTTTATGGATGATATTTATTCTGTTGGTAGATTGTAGGAAGACAAAGATCAAGGGCCTCCTGGTGGATGACCTTGGTCCTGCAGCAGAACTTCCGGTTTTTGTATCTTTTGTTCTCAACATATTATGGTCTTGGATTTTTAGTTACAGATAGCTTTTCCTGTCAGGAAAAATTGGAGTGAGTTTTGTCCCCCTAGCAGCTTGTTCTGGGACTGCAGGGGAGCTTCTGGCCAAATATTTTAAAGTGGATAAGTCAAGAAAGGAACAACATATTTTGCATATTTATTTTGCATAATTCTGTAAAAAAAAACAGCGTTTACATAATAGTGCTGTCATACATGTTATGTATGTAATCGATGGCAGGTGAAACATCAACAGATACAAATTATGCAAATAATGACCTAAGTTGCATAATTAGTTTGAAGATTCTGTGATTTATTAATAGTAAATAATGGGAATTTTAAACCTTGTGACGTGTAAGTTACGTAAAGGTTAACACCACTATGCATATATTATGTTAATATAGAGGTCATTTGCATAATTAATTAGAACATGTTGAAATGTGACATTGCCAATAGATAGGAATAACACATGCAGATTACAACATATTGTAATTTGAGTTTGGACAACCATAAATCAAACTAGATTATGTTAATTACGACCTTATTTACATAATCAAGGAGACAATCCTCCCGACACGTTTACACAAACTCTACGTATTTCATGGAGGTATGAGATCTCAGAATTCTTGTTCTCTCTGGTTCAGCCGATGCAGCTGAGTGCGTCCTTGCCCCCAAAAGTGCCTTACCTATCGAGGCACCTGCGTTTGGTATTCGCAGCATTGCACATAATTTTATACTAAACCGTGGATGTGAATTTGATTCCTGAGTCCCTTAAAGCACTGGTCTCTTGGGCCAAGTTACACAAAAATCATGAATTTCAAAATTGGCCAGTTTCGATCAACGGTCTTCTGGGACAGGTAGTCCGTAGAATGAACAGCGAAGAAAAGACTATATGTTATGTCTGTAACCAGTATGTTTCTGGGACTATATTTCCTAGGAATACAAGCAATTCGGGGTGTGTCGTCGTCGTCATCACCGCATATCTTTGAACGGCTAGGACTTTGAGTATAGGACTATGACTCTGTTTTGACGAATCAGACATATACCACAACCTTTCCCGACATTGAATAATGCGCCATCAGCAGCTCTAATCTGCGCACGAGAGCAAAAGACTTTGCCTGGGTCACGTAAATCCTCGATACCTGCATTCTTTCTGTGTTTGCGTTTGTCATAGAAGTCGCCGTTATCAGAGATCCATAGTAGGTGTTTACCGTACCCACGGTTCGGGTGTTTGCAGACTGTCAGGACAGAGAGAGGTACGTTGCCCCCTGCGACGTACCAAGTCAATATTATAGCGCTTTTGTTGCCTTCTTCCCTCTGACCTATTGATGTATTAGGCCTCTACGCCGTGGGACTTTTCAACAGACCTGTTACCCCTTGGTCCTGCTTCGGCCAAGATGGTACATGTAATTACCTCCATGAAAAATGGAGGTATTGTTTTTGGCGTGTCTGTCTGTGTGTCTGTGTGTCTGTGTGTTTGTGTTTCCGCACATTTGTAGTCAGCAAACTTCAGAACGCCTTTATGGATTGTGATGATATTTGGTATGTTGGTAAGTCTTAGGAAGACAAAGGTCAAGGTCAAATGTGGGCCTCCTGGTGGATGACCTTGGTACTGCAGCAGAACTTCCGGTTTTGTATCTTTTGTTCTGAACATGCTATGGTCTTGACTTTTTGGTGACAGATAGCTTATCCTGTCAAAAATAAGTGGTGTGAATTTGGTCTCCCTAGCAGCTTGTTCTGGAACTGCAGGGCACTTTCAGGCGAAATATTTAAAAGCCAACAAGTCCAGATAGGAAAAACGTATTTTCATCATTTTTGGTGTGTAGGTAGCTGAGAGAGAGTTGTACATAATTAAAATTATGCAAATGAGGACTTAATTTGCATAATTAATGAGAAAATGCTATAATTTCAGTGTTTTATGTAATAGTACCTTAATACATGAAATCTATTTAATCTGTGGCAGGTGGAACATCAACAGATACCAATTATGCAAATGGTGACCTAATTTGCATAATTAATGCGAAAATTCTGTAAAAATTCCTTATTGGTGAATGATGGGACTTTTATACCTTGTGATATGTGTAAGTTACTCAAAGGTCAACACCACTATGCAGATATAATGTTAATGTGGAGGTTATTTGCATAATTAATGAGGACATGTTGAAATTTATGACAAAGCAAGCCCATATTTCATGGAGGTATGAGATCTCGGAACTCTTGACTCAAGTTTTATCACTGAGTTTCCCACAATTGATAATAGGTTGGACGTGTGAGTGAATGAATCAATAGGATTATTTTTAACCAACAAACATTTTTAGTCTGAACCTTCTTGATATTTACCAGTGCAGCTCCGTAGATTTTACAAATTTGCATACCAGGTCATAGATGCATCGTTAGTTATTAACATTAAAATTCACTTAATCATAAAAAACACGTCTCAGTTTAGAGAACGTAACGTTTCGTCCCTAGAAAAGCATTTTACTACTCAGGATTAGTGCTAAATACGACAGTCTGCATGGTCAGATTTGAAACGTTGTATAATTATTTCTTATTTCAATGGTTGCTGCCTTTTTCTTCCTTCTTTTCTCAAGCGATGCTCTTAAGTTTGAAGAAGCTGTAGATACTCGGTGTTCCTATCAACTTGAAACGTTTCAGTGCAGTGCAACATATGTGGTGATCACCTAAAACAAATTACTTACAACAAAATCGTGAGGCGTAAAAGATACCATTGTGCAGTGTGTTTGTGATGTGACCAAATTATCTATACTCACCCTGACAGTAGCAACAAGTTGCAGCCAGGGCCACCAAAAGAGCCCGGAAACGCATGGTTGTTTGGTTGCTCGGCCGACGCCTTCGTCACTGCGAAATAACGCAAACGCAATTGAGATTCTTAAACGCATTAGAAACAGCTATACCATACAATTGATGTTATTCCGAGCCATGCATAACAAACGTCGCCTTTCCCACGGCGAAATGGTGTACATGAATCATGAGCACGCCGCTAAATTTACTATTGAAATAAATATAAAGTTACTACAGGAATATAACGATTTCAAAGTGGTGTTAGTGGTAAATTTCTTTAAAAGTGCACCCAATGCAATTTTGTGGCAGCAAAACTGGATTTTCAACGTCAATTTTTCGGGTCAATGTCTTTGGTAGGAAGTTGAATCAACCCTATTTGATAGCATGCTGATATCTGTGAGGCACAAATGTGATGTCTCTGATGGAAAACGATCGCGATTGCTCGTTTCGTATCAATTGCTGCCTCTAGCTATTTGTTTTGCCGCCCTGAAATTTCATTACATACCTTTAACAGCTGAGGTGGTGAAGAGTCCACGGAGAAAGCTGTGAGAGTTTGAAGGAATTAATGTATGAATCACAAAGTGAAAAGCTGAGGTAACTTTCCTTCTTGACTTCCACATGTGGGTATAAAAGGACTGTAGGTTACTTTCTGATATCGTTTCCTCAAAATGGCCGCTTTGGTTGCACAAGTTATCGAATCAATAGCCGCACTAGGGAAACCTTTATTCCAACGAAAAATGACGAATCCTTACCGAGAACAGGTGGTACTAAGGAAAGATTTGCGACGTCTTTTCAGGTGTCACCAACGAAGAACTTGAAAAATATCCTTGTCCAGACCAACTGATGAGTAGCATCTGGTGAATAAACAACTTGTACTAGAAGCAAATTGTTGCACGTACTTATAATGTGCTGTTGTGATAAAGAGTCAATAGTGCTCTTTGGTCACCAACGTAAGCAAGGGATCGCCCACAAATGACCGGAGGCAGGGGTCTTACTCTTAGGGGTAAACATTCGTGCATTTTGTATTTTCTTTATATAATCAGCTTTTAAATATTTTTTCTGCTATTTTGCATATTGAGAGCGACTTCTTACGTCCGCTGTACGTTTCACAACAATCCTCTTGGTCAACTCTAAAGGTAAAGAAATGTGCCACAACTTACATAGAAATATGTTTGCTCCTTGTCTTTGAGACACACGCTCCTGGGGTCAGAAAAAATGCGGAACTTGCGCAATGATTTACAAGAAGATCAATAGACCGATTTCGCGGGTCCAATAAATCACAAAGCTTGAGCGGTATGTTACGCATGTAACGTGAAGGCGTGCACGTGGGTCACCTCACAGAATGGTAGAACACCATGCATTTCAGCATACTCAATGTAGTGTTGTAACGTATGGTCCTCCAGGTCGTTTTCTAAATCTCCAGGCGGTTTGCGATGAAGACAAGAAATTCACACGACTTCTAAATTCTTCACGGAGGTAAGCAATCTTTTAATATCGTCTTTAATTCATTGACTGACAAATTTGATCCAGCTAGATGGCATTTATGTCCAGTCGTGCTCTGCAGGTGACACCGGTTTACCAGTCCTGGGTGAGCCACCAGAAGGGATCGCTGGTGCCCCCCGTGCCGGTTCCCGTACCGGTTCCAGTCCCGCCGGACACGCTGGTGGCGGCGGCATCCAGCGTGAAGTCACAGGTGGTGGCGGCGCCGCTGGTCACGGTGCAGGACTTGGTCTGCGTGGCCTGGCCCTTGGTGACGCTGACGCTGTAGGTACCCGGCAGCAGCAGGCGCCAGTAGTCACCATCGGCAGCTGCAGAGGGGAGACAAGATACCGCCGACTAGAAGCATGCCCTGTTTACCTTGACTAATACATATGCTAGTTATTTTTTCCTAAAATGCTTCCATGGAAAAATACGTTTGCACTGAAGATTGCACTTCTAGCGCCGCAATACCTTGTTGAGGAAAAGTAGGACAGTGATGTTACCCTCCTGTACTAGAGAACCATCTACAAACCTGTATATATATGTCAGTCAGTCTCTAGAGACTATGACTAACCGAGCAGGTCGAACAGGATGGCTCATTCCTATCTACATGTACAAGACAAAACAGATTTGAGCCTAAAGTCATGTTACAAAAAATAAAAGTCCAAAGACCAATATAATATACAAACCTGTAGAAGTGCTAAAAAGACGGAAAGTATGATCAAGTAAGAGAATGACAGTGCACTTACCGGAATGGACGCCATGGATGTTACCCTGCACCATGATCTTGGCGTCAGGAACGCCATTTCCGTTAGTGTCCCTGACCACACCCTTGATTCCGATGTGGACCTATCCAAAGGAAATGCAAGGAGACATTATAAGATCCATAGCTTGCATTGGCGTACACTGGTTGCTTTTTTGATAGGCTTGCTTGTTTTTGAACTTATGATTTTTTTAAAATCTGGTTAAGCGCATGGGGCACGCCAATACCAACGCACTCTGGGCGTATTGCCGGTCATTTTCGACTCAAATGTCGCTAGAAAGTAGCCTCCACCAGGCCTTTCTACGGGAATACGGATCGTAGAATTCGGCAAAAAAGATAATCAAATTGGCCAAGGGAGTCCGGCCGCGGGGAGGTAGTTTCGTTCCCTGTGCGGCCAGTCAACCCTACAAGGCGGCCAAACTCCACTGGCAAATATTCTCCTATATATAGCCAGCGTAGTTAATCTGGTAGAGACTAGCTAGAAAGCGTTTTGGTTCAGATCCGCTACGGCTGACCTGTTCCATGTAGGCGAGGAGGGCCTCCTTGTTGTTGTTCCACTCCATGCGGAGCTCGGACTCAGGCGGGTACTTGTCACAGCCCAGCTCCAGAGTCAGCTCGTAACAGTTGGTGTGCAGGTAGTTGAAGTCCTGCATTCCTGAGGACGTCACAAGCAGTTCAGATCCCGTCTTGTGCACGTTTTGTACTGAGATCACTGGATTGATTGACTCGAGAAATATTCGAGATCTGCCAAGCTACTCACCTCCATTGAAGTCAATTTCTACTTGTTTCTAGCTGTCAAACTGAAGAACTTAAGATCGGTCGCTATGACCCGTCCCTAGCTGCTAGCTGGTACCCGATTTTACCTGAATACATAAATTTTATTGTCACAACAACTATGCAAGGTACAGACTATGACATTTACTGTAATATATGTGTTAATATATGTTTTAACATTTTTGATAAAATTTCTAAGGTTTAGGCACAGAAACTGCTTGATACAAATGAGAACGGTGTCATTGACCCTTAACATGACATGACATGACATGACATGACATGACTCTAAGGTGCATCTTGAGGATGTACCATCAAGATGCACCTACATTACTGACCAGCCTACTACCCGAGCCCTATGTACATCGCCGAGAAACTCGTCTATCTACATCCCAACACAGAGCGGCCTTTGAACCTGTCAAGTCGTCATCCTCCTGCCACAGAAGAACATTCATCCGTGCTACAGTCAAGCTGTGGAACTGTCTCCCACGGGACATTGTTAACACCAGGGACCTTCCGAACTTCAAACGTAAAGTCAACGCCTACCTCAGCGCTTCCCGTCAGCAACCTTTATAGCAAATGTTATTTCGGTACAGCTGCTAAGCTGAGGACTTAAAAAACATGACATGACATGACGGGATAAGACGCCCAGCCCGGGTCCTTACCTCCCTCCAGGCTGTACCAGTCGGCTCCGTTCGTGATGCCTCCCTGGTCCTCAAAATGAAAGTCATACCCACAGTCGCCGCCGACGGTACCCATGGTGCCGTGCGCCTGCGCGTAAGTACTGGCCAGGCTGATCCACAGGGTGTCATCCGGGGTAGCGGCGTAACCGTAATCGCCCCTAGAATATTCATACATAGTGTGAGGGAGGAAGATATTGTAACGCTAACTCTTGAAATGTTCACGTTGTTTTCTTTTTTGAGTATTTTAGTACTGTATCTATACTCATGTTAGGCGTGTTGTGTACTCCCCTTCCGTTTTGACCAAGGACATGTAACGTCATTGAGGAGACCAAATGTTGACAAATTGAGTGACTTTTTATGTTTATCATGAGCTCTTGAAGTAAAAGAAATGTTCAGTTCCGGAATCGTTGATTAAAACTGATTGTCAAGTGTACTTGTAAATCTCTTGTTGATTGAACAATTCTACCTCTTGGCGTTGTCGTATGGGTAGTTTGCGACCACTGTACCGTCATGCATGTTTGCGGACAGAACGAAGGGATAAGACTGGAGCCATGTGATCATCGCCCTTGTCTCGGGGGCAACCTGACAAACAAACAAACAAACAAACAAACAAACAAACAAACAAACAACTTAATTGCACGGTCCTTCATACACCATGTATCGCTTCTTGTGTAAATGAGCCCTTTTACAACTCCCACATCTCACTAAACAAGACATGGATGTCTTCAGCCCCCCTCAAAATTATTAGCCTGGGTACCATCCTGGTTAGTTTACGTCCGCTCCCACAGTCGCTCCCACCAACTGTGGGAGCGGACGTAAACTAACCAGGATGGTACCTAGGATACAAAATTATCAATGAAATGAAATGAAACTTTATTGCATGTTCATTCCCCGGGGGGATAAATGCACAGATGTACAGAGTACAACGTATTAGAGAGTACTACAACAATAGTGATAAAGAAGGGCTAACATCGGGTCTAAGGTATACAATGCTAAAAAAGAAATATATATATATATATAAAGTGATACAGATCTAAGGTCTAATGGCTTCTTCTCTCTTTTTGAAACATTTTGAAATATACTTACATACTTCATTGATGACGTCTATATTCGTACATGATATGATATATTATATGATCAGTTTGTGGTGATATCCAAAATGACTTCGAAAAAGTGTCGTCAAGTGCAAGCCTTTGACATATCGGTCGGTTACAACACTTCTCGATTACCTGAGTTTTTCGTGAACCGATGTTTCACGTTAAGCTGTAAATCCTTCTATGGCAATCCTTTCGAAATCGACTTCAACAACTTCTACGTGGAAGAAGGTACGAAGGAACTTTAAATATAAGTTATACATCATACATAAGTTCCACGGAACTTGAGTGCGGCGTCATCTTGTATGTATTTATGTTTTTTGATGTTTAAAATTAAAAAAAAAAGAGTATTACCTTGCCGGACCAGTAGGAGGACGGGATGGGGATGTGGTCCTGGTTCATACCGGAAGCCTCTCCACTGTACGCAATGCTGTTCAGCGCAGGGAAGTTCCTGTTCAGATCGATCTTCTGCATGTTGTCCCGACCGGTGGTCCAGTCGTTACCGTCGGGACCCTGCATGAGGGAAGAAAACCAGTCCTCAATCCGTTTTACCATACCCAAGATGCATAGCCCCAGGGGTAAAAATTCCGACAGCATGTCATATATCGACCCCTAGCTCTATGCATTCTGGGAATGGGAAAAGGTGAAACAGGGTCAAAGCAAATTTTTTTTTGTTTTGTTTTTTTGGACGGCCTGTCATTTCGTTCATCATCATTATCATGATTGTCATTTCTTTAACATTTAAAATATAACCTAACCTGGAGTAAAGGAGGCGGTCTACATAAGAGCTCACAGACCTACCTTGAACAGAGACGGGGGGCGACACAAGTTATCTGGCACGTATGACCCGCCACTACGGTCACGTGTCTCTGACGTCACGTTCCAAGAGTAGACGGGTCCATTCCGTGAACAAGGTTGATGGAGTCAACCGAAAATTTGGGTAAGTCCCAATTCCGTAATTTAAGTGTTGGAAGTTAAAGCTTAGTCTTTATTTCAAAATAACCTAACCTGGTTGGCGGCGACTTCAAATCCGTCTGGGTTCATGGTGGGCATGAGATGGATGCGGGTGTTCTGGACCAGACTGACGATGCGGCTGTTCCCGGCCTTGTACTCCCCACACAGGTACTGCGCCAGGAGCAGGATCAACTCACGGCCGCGCACCTCGTTCCCGTGCATGTTGCCGACGTACTTGAACTCTGGCTCGCCTAGAATGAATGAATGAACGAATGAATGAATGAATGAATGAACGAATGTTTATTTACGTGTCATTGAGACCATACGTTGCCCAGCCCATATGGGCTTATAAGACACCGACAATTATAAAATCATAACAACTCAAAAGGTACAGAGAGTCAGATATAACATAACTTATAACTAAACATAATATATAAGTAAATAAATACAGGAAATTAAGTAGTATTGGTCATAATACCGACCTACATGTAGATGTATCGGATGACATTGGTTCATATCATATGAGCAACGTATAAGCAAATCTGATGCTAATTTACACCAATACATTATTTTAATTAACTTTACTGCAAGTATAAACATTTTAATGTGTAATGTCCTGTGTGTAAACTAAGTGTATTATTTATGTACGGAAGGCACGATTCAAAAAATACAGACATGTCAACATTGCAAGGGTGCTAATTAACATTGGTACAATTTCAAAATATGCTGCCAAAATATAAAGACCATTTCGTCTATGGGAATGGCTGCATAACATATGTTGTATCAGACATATCAACAGGCCTTTGTAACTGTTAATCTCTCCGGCACGTACAAGGTAACCACAATGACCACCTGTTGGATTTCTCAAGCGCTTCAAACGTGTTTTAAGCTAAGGTCCCAATTACGCCGGTGCCCGTCGGGGATGTAGCCCCGGCTGGTCCCGGCCGGGTTCAAGAGTCGGGCGGGCATCGGCTGTCGTGGTCACAATTAAAAGTTGCCTTTGCGCTACCCTGGTGTCCCGGGGTTGCCCGGCGGGCACTCGGTGGCCTGCTGATACACATTTTGCCATCGTCATTGATTGGTCTCCGGTAGATACCCGGCAGATGCTCTGACGATGCCTTGTAGTGACCCCTGTGGGGTCCGACACCCCCGTCCTCTTTGCCTTTGGCATGGTGACGAACTGACACGCATCCAGCAAAGTGAACACCTTTGCTGTAATCACATGATCTGTGACGTCACGCATTTCACCTGGTCTTACGAAGTGCACGTCACCTTTATTCTGTTCATCTCGTCTGTGACGCAACAAATTAGTCCCGGTGGACAATCGGAGGGGTACCGGACGGTGTTCTGACGGTTCTGTGACGGCATCTTGTTGTCAGCGGGGCCCGGGTAGAATTTAACTCAGAATTAAATTCTTATCGGGACCCCGACGGGCCAAAAAATAGCCCGGTAGCCGCAGGGTGCCCGGCGTGGTAAAAAACAGCCCGGGAACTACCCGCCAGGGCCCCTTTTCCCAATTGGGACCTTAGCTTTAGATAGCGCTTCAAACGTGTTTTAGATAGCGCTTCAAACGTGTTTTAGATAGCGCTTCAAACGTGTTTTAGATAGCGCTTCAAACGTGTTTTAGATAGCGCTTCAAACGTGTTTTAGATAGCGCTTCAAACGTGTTTTAGATAGCGCTTCTAACGTGTTTTAGATAGCGCTTCTAACGTGTTTTAGATAGCGCTTCAAACGTGTTTTAGATAGCGCTTCTAACGTGTTTTAGATAGCGCTTCAAACGTGTTTTAGATAGCGCTTCTAACGTGTTTTAGATATCGTCAGGACCCACGACGCGACCCGACTGTCGGATATTCTTGCGTTGACATGATACATTCTTCGTTTGAATCACCTCAAAGCATTCGTGTCTGTGATTGAGGTTTGCTTTTTGTCCTCTGTTGAAGATTATAAATCTGTTCTCTTTAATAGGCTACCTGCGCTTGTAAAAGATGTCGATATTTTTTTTTTTTGCGAAATGCACAGAATCCAGCACTCGTCAATGGAGGGAGATAAATAATAAAAACTCTCCTTCGTCGTACCAGCTGTTATATTGCAATATTGCGGTAGCTCACGGTTATCAAAATTAATTGTCATAAATTGCATGACAATGATTGCAAACTTCACCGAGCTCGTGCTGTCCGGGGTTGTCGGTGATCTCGAGGACCCACAGCTCACGGCCCTGCACGCTCTGCCCGATACTGTACAGACGGGTGATGTCCGGACAGTCATTGTTGACGGCGAGCATGGCGCTCTGCAGAGCGGGGTAGCGGTGGTACTGGAACACGAAACTGCTGTCCACTTCGGCAAGAGCCAGCGCCGGCAATGCGGCGAGAAGAAAAGCGAACATCATCCTAACTTCTGTTACGGTTTACCGTACACTAAGTGTAGACTGAACTGTTCCCTTGGACCTTTATTTATACTCCGCTGGGTGTGCGGAGATAGGATATTTCCGTACATAGACACACACGGTAGCGGGTAAGGGCAAAACTTTGTTTGCAAATGAGTTACTTTTTAAGAATTCTTGTTTGATAGCGTTTATATCATAATAAAAAAATCTCAGAATAAAAAATATATGACATGTCAAGTATTACAAATAAGTACGTAAATTTTATGACCCAACAGGCAATATATATATACTCATAAAAAGTTCAATTTACTCTTGTTTTTAAGGCTTCATTGTGGCAAAAGTTCACGGACAAATGGAGAAGGTTATGATAAGGGATGTCGTAGTCTGAAAATAGAATGAGAAATAAAGATATGGAAACAGGTGCTGCAGAAACGACGCTATTATTCTAAATGTACAACTTATTTGGGCAAGCTTCCCTTTAGCTCACCATGAAACGTTTTCCTCTTGAGCAGTCCTGAGCAATTCTTAGTCAACAATAATCTTAATTTTTGCACTTCCCTGCGACTTCCATACTGTTCCCTCAGCAGATCAGCAATAGTTCTTCTATCATTAATGATTTTAAGCTATAGGTGCATAGAGAGAGAAAAGGGCAAGAAAGGAAACATGTTTTTTTTTTTAGCTGTGACTGGTCTTTTCTTGGGACCAAACAATTATAATTAGCATGAAATTATCTTCCGTTGGAGGAAATGCCAACAGATTGACTTTAATTTATGCATTTATTTCTATACAAACAAGAGTTGGGATGTACGATGGACCTGTAAATACTGTACATATCATCTGTCTTCTCTGTCAAGGCCAGTGGAAGATTAGCTCTTCAGGGAGCTAAAATGTCCTTTTTTTCATTCCTCCTCCTCACAATGGTGGTCTTTAGCAGTCTGTTCAGTACCTTACAGCTGAGTATATATAGTTTCATGCACAATACTGGAAAGGGTCACAGACCTTAGGATGGGCCCACTGTTTTTATTGCGCTTGTCGAAAGAGCCAGGGAATTTCCGGGGTACAATGAGCCTGTAAATACTGTACATAGTCTTGTCTTCTCTGTCACGACCAGAGTAGCTCTTCAGAGAACTAAAACTGGATCACTTTTCTTTCTTTTTCTTCATTCCTCTTCCTCCACAATAGTTGCCTTGAGCAGTCCCTTCAGCACCTTACAGCTGAGCAGTGGCTGTGAGTACTCCCGCCTCTCCTATGTACAGGAATGGCAAAGCTGTATCACTCCTTCTACTTCACATGTCTGCTATTTATCATGAAGGCCTAGTGACTATCTGTTTGGTAGGTTATGGACAGTGCATCTGTTTGCCCCTGTTCATACTCTCAAGCCTTGAAAATCGCATTCAGGGCGAAATCCACCTAAACGGGATTCATGTGACCCAGTCTGAATGCTTCAAGTCACATTGAAACCGGATCAGTCTCAAATCACCTCAGGGACGTAGTTTCAAGTCGGCTTAAGCACAATGCGACTTCAATTTGAAGGCAAGAAGGCTGAAGACTTCAAAGCTGTATCATTCCTCTTCCAATAGTTGCCTTGAGAAGTCCCTTTAGTACCTTACAGCTGAGTAGCGGCATGCACAATACTGGAAAGGGTCAGGGTCCTTAGGATGGGCCCACTGTTCATTGTGCTTGTCGAAAGAGCCAGGGAAATTTCCCCGGTACAACAAGCCTGTAAATACTGTACACAGTGTGTCAAGACCAGTAGAAGAGTCGCTCTTTAGTGAGCTAAAACTTCTTCCTCCTCCACAATAGTTGCCTTGAGCAGTCCCTTCAGCACCTTACAGCTGAGCAGTGGCTGTGAGTCGCGTGGAGGCGAGATCACTCCGGCCTCTCCCACGTACACGAACGGCAAACGCAGCACCCAGAGCCGCGAGGGGGGCAGGGGGATGTCCTCTTCCTGGGGGTAGAAGGTTGGGCAGGGAGGGGGTCCTGGCTGGAGCCGGGGGTGCAGGTGGATCTGTACAGGGGGGTCCGGCGTGGTGAGGAACACTCGCATCAACTGGCCAAGGTGGGGCTTCGCACCTCTGCGGAAAATGGAAAATTGTACAGCTGTGAATATCCATGCTTTGGGACATTTATAGACTGCCTCTAACTAATAATAAAATCGTTAGGTATTCATACAAATGTATCAAGTGTCTCTAACTAGTACAACAACAAAAATTTTTGTATCTGCTTTTGTGTTGGTCTGTCCTTGGTACTGAACACACATACAATCTTGCAATTTTCCTAATCATAATGCACATACATCCCAGTATAAAATACAATAAAATTGTACAGCTGTGAATAGTGATGCATTTGGGACATGTATTAAGTTATACCAGGCTAAATTTGTGTCTCTAATTAGTGAAACAATAGAAATGTCTCTATCTGTACAGGGGTCTGTGGTGGTGAGGAACACTCGCACCAGATGGCCCAGGTGGGGCTTAGCACCTCTGCGGAAAATGGAAAATTGTACAGCTGGAACTGGTCATGCATTCAGATGTGCATTCAGAAGTAGTACAACAACAATATCTATACATTGTATCTGCTTTTGTTTTGTGTTGGTCTGTCCTTGGTGCTGAACACACATCCTTGGGACCCTTTTTCTTCCAGTTGTCACAATGTACGTGCGCTTCATGGATCATTTACACACTCACAGAAAAACTCACTAAACCTGTATCTCTAGTACAACAACAACACTTTATGTCTATATCTGTCTTTTTTTGTTGGTCTGTCCTTGTGCTGAAGGTGCATTCTTGTGTCTCTCACCTTGCAGTTTCCCCACTGTGCGTACACTGTGCGTACACTTTCTGTCCTTGTGCTGAAGGTGCATTCTTGTGTCTCTCACCTTGCAGTTTCCCCACTGTGCGTACACTTTCATGGATAATTGAAATGCTCACAATGTACAATTCTTCTTGCAATTGATATTATTGTATACCGAGATGTAGTACATGTGAATCTGACCTGGAGGGACAGGGGCAGGGGAAGTACAGAGGCATGTCCATGCTCAGCAGCTTCAGCGCCGTTTCTTTCACAGCTCCGGATGTGGAGGTCTTCATCACCTGGGCAGGGAATGGCAGTCATGTTAATGCAGTTCACTTGTTATGTTGAACACTATGTATGAATGTAAGACTGTCAAACCTCTGTGGTTAGAACTGGCAAAACGATAGATTATCAAGTATATCATAAGCCATACACAATGTAATAATAGGTTGACAACACATTTTAGTACACACTCACTCATTATCAGGTTTGAAACAATCAATACTACTTGCTAAGTATGCAATCTGTATACATGTATACAAATCTGATTCATACATAGGAAGTGTTGCACTGTTTGAAATTCAAGGAGAGATTTGATGTAAAAGATGCATTTGTCAAATGTTGCAAAGAAATTAAGAAAAAACCTCACCTTGTCCGGGCCGCTGCAGAGGAAGCGGTGTCCGCGGGCGCATTCGTACTCGTAGCCGACGTACACGCGTACGAAGGAGTCGGAGTCCTTGGCTCCCCGGCGCGGCTTGCCGCCGTGAGGAATTGACCGTCGTACAGTCTGGGACTCGCCTGGCGCTGGCCAGGCTTGGTCTCCTACAACAGACATACGAGATTTGAATTACATAAATGCTTCTCCTACCAGAAATACCAAGTTGGCCATAGCAGTGCCAGTATCACAGAAATTCCAGGTCTCCTACAACAAACATACAAGATTTGAATTACTAATACTTTATCCTTCTCCTACCAGAAATACTAATTTAAAGTGGTCAGCAGTGCCAGCATCACAGAAATTCCTGGTCTGTATGTATCCAGAACCGTGCCTGATAGTCTACATGTATCCAGAACTGTGCATGGAGAAAATCTATGTTCTTGAATATGCTGATGAGACTATCCAGAACCGTGTCCAAAGCTGGTGAGTTACGCTGAATGGCGGTAATACTGGCTGTACAGATACAGAAGCTGGTGTATTTCGCCGAAGGACAGTTATACCGGCTATACAGATACAGAAGCTGGTGTGTTATACCGGCTATACAGATACAGAAGCTGGTGTGTTATGCTGAAGGGCGGTTATACCGGCTGTGCAGGTATAGGTCCCACCTTGCTGAGGCCGTTCAGTGTGGATGGGGATGTCCCAGGCCAGTAGTAAGTTGCTGCCGTGTATGAACCCCGGCTGCTCCAGCCCCAGACTCGGGTAGTACTGCCCGGCCGGGCCCAGACAAACCTGTAACGGTCATGACTTTTTTGAGTATGATAATTAGCACAGGGCTCAAAATTAAAGGTTGTCCAATGGCCAATGACCACTAAAATTTAGGCTGGGACAACTAAAAAGACATCCGCATCACCCTTGGTCCCAGCCCTCCCGTGAGTCAGATCGCCCTCAAGCCTTTGGACGATCTGACCCGCGGTCGGGCTGGTACCTCGGGCGATTTATATTATTTATTTTTATTTATTTATCCATCTTCAAGACATATGGGTGGTCCCTTCAGCCCCTTGGGGCTGATTTCCAAGGGAGCCCATGCAGAAAATAAGGTAATATAAAATGATAGTAATTAAATGTAACAGTGAAATCATAAATCAAAATACAAGGTCTGTCAGGGGTGAGATGTCAGAGGTCAAACTCCAAATAATACAAACTTAGGAATAGTAGATCATAAATAATAAAGTACTTGAACATGATAGTAATAAATCATATATACAAATCAAAGAAATAACAAAAAAATACTTAATCATAATCGGTCGGCAATACAGAATACACCGTGTGGTATTCTATATTTACTACCAAGGGTCCTCCTTGGGCACGGGTGCTGCCTCCTCACCGGGAGTGCCCTGTGGCTGCTACAATGCTAGTTACCATGGTGACAGACGTCTAGTCCAGGTCATTGACCTTATGATGTGTTGATATGTTTTCCTATTGCGAAGGTATGTAATCTGTGCTTTGTGTATATCTGTTTCATGTATTGCATTGTCTTGTCTAAAAAGCCCTGGAAGATTAGCCATGGGGCTAAAGGGCATCTTAATAAATCAATTTGTAGTATGTGACATATAGATGCTAAGAGACCAGAGTTTATTTACTACCCACCAGCTCCCAGGAGGAGTACTTGGGCAGGACCCCCGGTGGGCAGTCCGAGTGCAGCATGCCGGGGAGAGACTCTGTCACTGACGGCTGACGCACCAGCTGGGCTGTCTTCTCTGTAAAAGTGTAATGTTACAGAGAAAAATTAATTACGTTCACTGAATGTACATGATTCATATTTGTTTGTCTGACTACTGTGAATCTATATCTGGGCTGTCTTCTCTGTGAGGTGAAAAAATCAGCCACCTTTACTGAATGTAAATGATTTGTATTAATTTGTCTCTGATATTGTTTCTATTCTGCTATCGGTTAAAATCAGTAATTCAGTTCTTTTTATAGTTATAGTTACATGTACATAATATACAGTGCAGTAATGTAGTAGGACATCCTTACTCTTCCTAGTAAGGTGGAACAGGTGTTCATGTTAGGACACCTTTTCAAAGTTGTACATAAAATCATAATTACATAACATTACATTAAAACTAGGTATTTCCAGGTATAATCTATAGGTATAATCTATAGGTATAATCTATAATCTATAGGTATAATCTATAATCTATAGGTATAATCTATAATCTATAGGCATAATCTATAGGTATAATCTGTAGGTATAATCTGTAGGTATAATCTATATGTTTTTATGATGTATATTAGGTAACTATGTGTTGTACACCGACCAGCCTCGGCCTCCTGTTGTTGGTTGTCGGCAGCCATCATGCCGTCCATGCCCACGGCTGCCAGGCTGTCCGAGTTCTGGTCAGCATGCAGCATGCTCACAAACATGTCGCTCCCTCCGGACTGACCTGGACACCCGGACACACCCCGCATGCAAGTTAAAACATGTGCATGTGCCTTTACCACGTACATACGTCATTAGATAATTCCCAGCCTGATATCATAGAGACACCAACCAGCCTGACCTGGACACCTGAACACACAAGCCTCCTTCGCAGTCTTGTTGGGCGTCAGCGTTATTTTTTCTCTGAGCAACGCGAGTAATATGCGGCCGCGAGGGACGATTTGCTGCCGAGGGAGTTTTTGCCACGGAGAGAAGGTTTCACGCTCCAACAAGACTGCTTCCAGTGGGCGACTAAAAAGGGCTATCAAAAAACACTTAGGAGCGATTGGCATGGATGTGTGAACTTCCCGCAATAAACGCCACCAGGGTAGGGAGGTGTTCACGCCCCGTTGCTCGACAAGCCAAAACTTGTAACTTTCTAGCGGTTGCCGATCAACCCGTCGGTAGAACGCCAACCATTCCCGAAAACCCTTTTTAGTCCCTGACTGGAAGCAGTCTTGTTGGAGCGCGAAACCTTCTCTCCGTGGCAAAACTCCCTCGGCAGCAAATCGACCCTCGCGGCTAACAAGACTGCGAAGGAGGCTACGAACATACACAACGCATGCAATTTAAAACATGTACATGTAGCACAGGCATCGGGATTTTTCAAACATGTACATGTCGCTCCCTCCGGACTGACCTGGACACGCAATACCCACATGCACGTCAAAACACGGAGCTAGCTTTACTAGGGCCTGGATACATACCTCATATGGCTGTCGTACAAACTAACGTAGCATGAAAGTTCATCTGAGTTGGTAATATTTGGTAATATATCGCTACCACAGGACTGACCTGGACACCTGAACACGCAATACCCACATGCACGTCAAAACACGGAGCACCTAGATTTCCTTTAGAGCCGGTCATATACGTTGTACATTCACAAACTGACGTGTCTAAGACAGATTTTGATTGCGTACAATTTTCAAGCATGCTGGGACAAAACCAACCGCCAACATTTATAGGATCTAAAACATTTTTTTTGGTATTAAGACAGCTGAATGTTGCAAAACATGGAGCATTCGGATTTCTTAAGGTCCCGGTCACATGCGTCATAGGCTGTCGCATGATCACAAATTGACATATCATTAAGACCTTTGCTCCAGTGCAGACTGAAAATTATGTAAGTTGTTGTATACATGGAAACAGCAAAAGACACATTGTGTAATTTTCAGGAGTTGGTACACCTATCTTTAACATGAAAATTTCTTTTTAGAGACTATACCATATATCTTTACCACCATGCAACACTGTAAATGATTCACACAAAGCTAATCAAATTGTAACAACAACAATTCATAGCATGAAAGTTCATCTGTGTTGGTACAAGTCATTATGAAATAAAGACTAAGCTTTAACTTCCGACACTTAGATTACAGAACTAGGAATTACCCAAATTTTTGGTTGACTCCATCAACCTTGTTCACGGAATGGACCCGTCTACTCTTGGAACGTGACGTCAGAGACACGTGACCTTCTTTGCAAGAGGAGTGAAGGAGGCGGTCTACATAAGAGCTCACAGACCTACAATTAACAGAGACGGGGTGCGACACAAGTTATCTGACACGTATGACCCGCTACTACGGTCACGTGTCTCTGACGTCACGTTCCAAGAGTAGACGGGTCCATTCCGTAAATAGGGTTGATGGAGTCAACCGAAAATTTGGGTAAGTCCCAATTCTGTAATCTAAGTGTTGGAAGTTAAAGCTTAGTCTTTATTTCATAACAATGGTGGAGCACTAAGCAGTGAATCCTCCAGATGCCTTGCTCTACACCTCATAGAGCACACATACATGTACTGTTGGATAAAATAAAGTCCATGACCCAAGTGTTTCCTACCTAAGCTGAGAGCCAGACTGAGGCCTCCGCTGGCAGTGGTGGTTGCAGATGACAGGACCGAGTCTTTCCTCTTGCTCGGCTCTGGATCAGCCTTCATCGACACCTCTGGCTGAGATGTACACAATTTGTAAATTTTTGTAACATAATCATAAACAATACTTGATTAATAATATGTTTTCCTACAACGTTTCTTACTGCAAAGGTAAAACATAAAGCTACCTCAGGCTGGAGTGTTGGAGGTGGTTCCTCCTCTGGGGGGTTTGCCTCCTCACCAGGCGTGCCCTGTGGCTGCCGCTGGAACACTGGGAACGAGATGTGCTCTAAACTGGAGCAGCACTTTTCCTCCATCAGGCTGAAGAAGTCATGGTTCGCTGCCTGGAGAAGAAGGAACAAATCTTGAATTTACTATCATGAAAGGTCATCTGTGTTGGTAGTTACATGTTTAGAGCCTGGCCCAGTAGTTATGGCTCCCACCGTTGAGTCCTTCCGGGCCAGGCTGGAGGCCTGCCCGCCTTAGACCAAGGCCCCCCCCCCTAAAGTGCCCCATCAGGGGCTATATGGGGGTGTAGCCGGGGCTCACATAACACCTTTGAGCCCCGGCAAAGATGAAGATGAAGAGTTAAAACTTTTGGTCCAACACAAAAAAGTTCTCTCACCTACAGCTTTCGACCAGTCACTCTGTTCTTCCTCAGTAGACTGACCCAGTGAAGCTTGTCACATGGCTTCTTTGAAATGTGACGTCAACACTGGGTCAAAGGTATCTGGTAGACGATGGGTCAGTCTACTGAGGAAGACCAGAGTGACTGGTCGAAAGCTCTAGGTGAGAGAACTTTTTTGTGTTGGACCAAAATTTTAACTTTAAACAAATCTTGATTTTCTTCGGGAGAATTGAATGCAAGATATTTCTATTACTTAACCTGTCCTCATGAAGGTACATGTAAGTGTAAATAAACTTGATATCATGTATGCATTATTTTTTGGCAGTTTGACAAATTTGCCAATGCCAAACATTTTGACAGCTGAGACAGAATAATACTCATGGCAAGGTAGTCTATGTACTCCTCAGTGTAACTGATTACGAAGCTGGTGTGTTACGCCAAAAGGCGGTTATACCGGCTATACAGATACAGATACAGATTTGACTGATTTGCCAAGAAGCATACAGCATAACTATATATACTACACATTGGTGTATAATACAAAGAGGAACCGTACTTTGACATCGAAGGGATCGTCCCTCTGGGCCTGTTTGCGTCCACAGTTGCAGGCACACAGGGAGCGCGCCCGGCTGTTGTGGGGCATGCAGGGAACCACCTGGCTGTCCGTTGGCTCCGGGTCGGACGGCTGGCCGGGTTTCGGCAGCGTGTGGAACTGCACAGGGCAGAGAGTACAGGCTTAGCACAACAGGTCAAATGAATGTATGAATGAAGCTTTATTGTACATACATACATACCCGCTGGGTAAGGTATAGGTCACAACAATGGAATAGCTTGTATATTGTGCATGTATAGTTCAGGACTATTTTCCCATTCAGGCATTGAACTAGATAGGCACGGTTCTTGATAGTCCATGAGTATCCAGAACCAGAACCGTGCCTGGGGAAAACCTGAGTTCTTGGATATGTGGAGACTATCTGGAACCGAGCCTGATCCTAACCCTAACCCATTCAGGCACAAGACTAGAGAGGCACGGCTCTGGATACAACAGTAACTCACCGGATGCACACAGTGCTCACACAAACCAATGCAACACAAATATCTTTTTTCCTCGAGAATCTCCTTTTTCAAGGCAATTTGCAATGTACTGAAGCCTCTACAAGGAACCCCGGATCGCTGAAAAAATAGTACAAATGTACCATGGGTAGCAAAATGTACCCCCTCTGGCTGGTTAACCTCCCTGGTACAGTATTACCTTTATTTTGACCAATTTCTACTATTTTTCCAGCGACCCGCAGTGCCTGGTAGAGACTAAATGTACAGCAGGTATTTGACTGACCGGATGCACACAGTGCTGTCCCGTGAGGCTTCTCTCTTCGCACAGCTGACGCCCGTTAGCCCAGAACTTCTCGCAGTCCTCCTGCAGCTGCAGTACGTAGTGATCATACGCCGGCCCGCGCGCGTGCTGCTTAAACACCTTCAGCGCCTGCCCTAGCTGGTTGTTGTGAACCTTACAATGGAAATACATAAAGATATGATTAAAGGAAAGAAACAATCTTAAAGGAAGGAAACAGGGCAGGAAGACAACTGCTGTTCCACTGATTTATTGCTGTTTTCATGACGAATAAAAGACTAAGTCTTGTTGGTTGTTACTCTGTGTTCTCTCATTCAATGTGTGTCCTAACATTTGTCATCCCTTAGTATATTTCAAATCTAGTCATTTTGAGTTTTTCGCACTAGATTTAGGGTGTCCAGAGTATGTCCCATAAAAATTACTTGGTGTGGCCTAAATATAAATACAATACCAATACCTTGCTGGTGTAGTGTGAGGGAAGGTTGTTCTGGTAGGCACTGCTGGCCAGCGGCAGGACCTTACTGCAGCGACTATCCGAGAACTTAGTCTCCACATCCAGGCAGCTGCCCATGCTCTCCAGACTGCTCTCAACCTTTCAAATTCAGATTTATTGATTATCAACTGGCATGTCAAAGTGAAGTGCATGAAATATGTTGTATATTTACAACATTATCCGCCCATTATTACAAATAGATAGAGTTAGCATAAATTCTTACATATGTCATACAAAAGCTTACCACAACAAATAGGAGGAGTCTAAATCCCTCCTGCTATAAAATTGCAACATGATGTAACCCAACACTAGTTACCATGGTGACAGACATCTGGTTCAGGTCATTGACCTTATTGGTTTAGAGAAGAAGAAGAAACTGAGCAAAAACAATAATCTTTTCTTTCAGTAAACATAATCAGTATTAACAGAGATGAATAACATCATAACACCACTAGAATCAAGTTGATGAAGAGACAGAGTACGTCTCGAAAGCTCCCCAGCATAGCTGAACTTTCGTCGTGTGTTTATGTATAAATATTTTGTCAAAAAACCACTAGATAGGTTTTAGACAATAGCATCAGCACACAAGGTACAACCTTCGCGTTCTGCCCGGAATCTGTCAATAGCAGTTCATACAGCACGTTGCACACAGTCAGCCACTTCCTTATCTTCTTTCATTATAGTATATATTATGTATCATTTATTAAGGAGGCAGGCTCAGTATAAGCCTACTAGGCTTCCCTCCGCCTCCTGCACACTGTTTGTCTTTTTTTCTTTATTATGTTATCTATATACTATGTGCTAAGAAATAAAACAAAACAAACATTTGCTGACGGCATTTCACGTGTCTATAGCATTTGGGTCATAAAGCTGATGAAGACTGAGCGAATCAGTCGAAAATTTCTGGTGAGTCATTTTCGTTGTTGAGTTGGAGAACTGTTTAATTTTCGTCGTGTATTTTACCAACTCAGATGAACTTTCATGCCAACAAACCTTTGCATTCTGCCCGGATTCCGTCAGGAGAAGTTCGTACAGCACGTTGCACACAGTCAGCCACTTCCCGCAGGTTGGGAGCTCGAAGTGCGACGGTTGCGGGTTTCTCCCGACGCTGTCATCGAACCCTTTCCCGCTGAGCACCAGCTCCACATGCTGCCACAGGAAACCCAGCAGAGAGTCGTCCGCACCGGTGGGTTTTGCAGGCAGGAGGATACTGGGAGGGTTGATGGTAGTGGACTGATTTGTCCGCCTCGACATCTGGTGTAATAAGAATAATAGTAACAAGTTATGAATACTTCATGGCTTTATTCAAGGTGCATTTGGCGATCTGAAGCCCAGCAGGGAGTCGTCAGCGCTGGTGGGTTTTTCCGGCAGAAAGATAGTGTGTGTGTGT